ATCCTTTCAYAGACAACAAAAATTAAAAGCTAAAAATTAAACTGACTCTATCCACCGTATAGCGAAACTTACTCTAACAATTCTTTATGATTTAACAGTGTTTTTTATCGTGAAACATGCATTTACTAACGGCCAGTGTTTGAATGATAGATATCCATATTTTCAAAATAGGAACAAAGCTTTAGGTCTTCTAGTTTCTATTAGCTCAGTAAGTATATATTTCATGGTCTGTCAAAAATCACTTACCACAAGGATAAAAGTCGAGAAAAACTCAGCAATGGCAATTCGAAGTGAAGTTGGTAAATTATAGCGAAARCGATTCCAGTCTGGACTGCCCATGGCGACCTTCGTCTTGTAAAACGCTGCAAGATTAATCAAACATAACTTTTCATGCTCAAAAAGACAAAGGATACAATGTTTGTTTAGTTGGACAGCTGTTTCGTGCTATTTAAAGAAGCAGCCACTAGAATTTGTCCTGAGTTTTGCATTGTTTTCAMCCATTACAGTGAAATTCCATTTTGGAGAAATGAACAATAGATACTAATCATGAAAWTCATGAATGTTTTATTCGACCAAAATGGCTGCTGTGACAGTAGTATCAAAATTTAAAGAGTTGTACACTACTGTTAGAAMAAAGATTGTGATTTGATGAAATAACAAGGAAGGGCATGCACTACAAAAAGCGAAGATGGTCCAGCAGAACAATAGCCATTGTCTGAAATAAAAATAATCCTACAATTCTTTATTTTTGTTGTCTCGATCAATCACAAGCTTCGTTTTTCGTGTAGTGGTCAACCCAAATTCTTGGTGTGCAACAACATGACCAGGAATTCCATGAGAAATAAAGAACAAAGCTATCGCCGCCATGTTGGATGAATGAACAAGAGAAACTAATGAGGAATGCTTTGTGATTTTCATCCAACATGGCGGTGATGACATAACTTGCACACCAAGAATAGGTAGTATTTGGTCACATTCAATTAACATCAGTTCTCCTTAGTTTGTATATAGCTATTTCAAAAAAGGTTGTCGAGTAAAATGTCGAATGCCAATTGTCGAACGGCGAATGCACGACCGAAAGTAACCATGGGTTTTTCTAATTGATGAGAAATAACAACTGATTTATGCTGTAAGATAGTTTATGGTAAACACTATCTCTATTTAATCAACATTTCTATGTAAGGTGAATCTAATAAGAGAAATTTTGTTCGTCAAAACAGTGTTAACATAGTACTTTCGGCTGTGCAATTTCCCTTCGACAATCGCCGTTCGCCGTTCTCCCTGACAACGTATTTTGAAATAAGTGTATTATGTAAGAGTTATGTAATTTCTTAGAATAATAATAGGAAAGAGATGAWTTGAAAAGCAATGCGATGTCAGAACAAAGAAAACATACAAAAATAAAAACTCACATATCTTGTGTTATCTATATACAACTTTCACAAGAAATCGAGCTGCAGGAAAAACGTTATTGATGAGTATAAAAGCTATCCTCTTTCTTCAAAAGTTCAGTAATTAATATGCACAACGCTCYTTAATCCTTTTGTTTTAACCAGACAATTTTTGTTTTGAACTTTGAATCCCAAGTCCACATCCAAGGAGATTGAAAATATTCCATTSGAACCAGAACTAATCACGCAGAATTCACCGATTGACCTCTAGAGTCCACGTGCTTTGTCACGTGACACAAACTGAAAACAAAGTGCGAAARTTCGGARAAATCCTACAGTSCAATCAAATGAATGAATTGAAATCCGTACGTCAAAATATCTCACAGACGTCCTTTAAAAACTATTGGACAAAGACCTAGTATGAAAATAACTTGAATAATGATATATATGAATTAGAATGGAATAACAATTGAAATGAAATATTTTAATTTCTCGGGTAGAATAGCGGTTGCCAGAGCTGCAAATGAAAAGACTAGATACGCGAATATCAATGATAACACGAACAAATAAATCACGATTTTTCAACAAACACGTCTCTTATTCGTTCGCACGATGATGTTTGCACGTTATCCAGCATTCAATGCGGTCGTGTTTCAGATTTTTCATATATGGTAAATAAGGTGACTTTTTTCTTAACTTTAYGCTGCATAGAAATCTAAATCTGTTTGATTATTAATGATATGCATTAATATTTTGATAGTGTAGTTGAATTGTAATTGACTTATACAACCTCATCCCAGGCCCTTGTTCCTTCGTTTCATAWAGGTATGACGGCCTGGGAATGAGGTTCGTCCGGCTAASACACACAATTATTWTTCATTCTAATTCCAATTCAGTCTCCTGAGCATCCCATACTAGGCATTCTAAGTATAGGAATTCTATATGGTGCCCGCATTATCATTTTATTGATCAACATTATGTTGTCTTTCGCATTAAGAYGATACCAATGAGATGACGGATATTAAGTAAGCAGTATGTTTTCTTCAAGCATTAAAAGTGTGAAAAAGTACTAACCMAATGGACCCACAATAGAGTCATAGAGTCAATAGAATTATAATAGTAACTATTAGGTTGTAAGTAGGCTACCAAACGGAAAAATCAAAACCGTGATAATGCATATTGAACTTCTAATGAGCATGTGCATTGTGCCACACTTAAAAGAATTTTGATCCCACACGAAAGAACGGCTAGTCTAGCTATAGTGCATGTATGCACATTGATTCAAACTGATTTAAAACCTAGCAAAGGTCTATAATGCGACATTAAAACTGAGACCTTTGCTATACACCCTTTTAATAAGTCCCATGGTATTGTTTTGTCCGCACTTGACGTCAAATTTATTCTTTTGAAACTTTTACAATACAAAAGGAATTCAAAAGAATAAATTTGACGTCAAGTGCGGAGAACGTAATACCTCGGGACTTATTAAAAGGGTGTATAGTGTTGGGTTGCGAACTTGATCAGTTCTTTATGTCTGATATATAACTGATTAATAAAACATCAGTTCCATATATCTGATATAGAACTGATTAATAAAACATCAGTACTATTATCGGATATAAAGGCCCATCATGTGACCCAATAGTTCGATGCTYATTGGACTAATAGCTCATGAATTATTAATGAGTTCTGGAAAGTATAGATTAGGCAAAGCAGTTCAATTAATCTATTGTCYAATCTACACTATAGAGTCATTTTCATCTGTMTGTGRAATAGGAATTGTACTATWAAATACTATKACCCCCTATTAGCTCCCCCATGAAAATCCATGCCCTGTTCAAGACAAATCGGAATCATAAAAAAATAAGGAATCGCTATCTACGCCACAACCATCAAAACTGAAAATATACTTATATCCATCAAAACCAATAAGAAGTTTTTGATAACACGTTAATCCTGATACAGTGAAACGGTATTTTTACTATTTCTAAGGTATTTCTAATGAAAACATCACATTATGATCTAAATTGTAGAGCCTGTTTACGACAATTTTGGGTGAAATTTATGCCCTGCTTAAGACAACAAGGCCAAAAACCATACCCTGGCCAGCGGCACGTCCCCGTATAGCAAAT